GCCCTGCAAAAAGGGCTTCACAGCCTCCTACAAGCATCCATGGCAAACCAGCAAGGCCCACTTTCCTCTTGGGTGTATCACGGTGTGACTCCGGGAAGACAAGCTCATCTAAAGCGTCTCTTTCCTATTTACAACAGGAGTGGTACCCGCAGCCCCGACGCTCCGAGACTCTTGCAATAACTCCTCCTGCTACTTTACCTTGTGTAATCCTTAAACTCAGGCTGTGCTGAGACGCTCCAACATTGCATCCAGCACCCAACTGTGCCCCCACACTAGACTGGGATCTCATACCTGGCTCTACCACTGACTCACAGTAGAAATCTCCGTGCCTCAGTTTACCCATTTATAAATAAAGGCAGAGGTCATGCGGGAGCTGTAAGGCTCATCTCTGGTTCTGGAAAGCCTGTGGAGATCCTTTGGCTACGGGCTCTACCAGAGGTGGGATGTACTGTCATCACTGGGATGTACTGTCATCACTGGGATGTAGTGCCATCACCACCCACATCCCAGGGCGGGTGGCCTGGAGACGCGCGGGCAGAGGATGCCAGCCTGCCGCTCCCTGCCTCTGAGAAGGGAAACTCGCCTCGACTCCTCATTCCCCTGCTCTCATCCGACTGCAAGCGGCTTTTCTTGCCACGCCGGGGCCCTTCAAGCTTTGGGCAATTCTCAGGCGTGTTACTGTACAAAATAAAACCCTTTTCAGTAGCGATGAGCCAGAAATGATTGTGGAGAGGAAACAGCTGATCTCCTGCGCTGCCTGATAACCCTGGTGTGCGGGTGGCCATCGGCAGCATCTGTGCCTCCCGGGACACCAAGCCAAGAGATGCTGCACCTCTTCCCCCACCGCTTTCCTCGCAACTGCACTGCGATTTGCGCTAACCTAGAAAGGACCCTCGAGTTTAAGGTGGCTCTTAGTGGAGGCATTTTGAGATGGCGGCTTTCTGGGGAAAGCATTCCTTAAAATACAGCTCTTTCCTTCTGCCTCACCCCCAGCTTTTGACATTTTAGAGCTCCAGAAAAATAAAATGTTTCAAAAATCTAATTTTCAGCTTTGGAGACACAAAACCTAGAGGCAGGCTGCGGGTAGGAAGAGCTGGTTTCCAAGCGCCCAGGCAGGAGATGAAAAGAGCAGCAGCGGCTGCGTACAAGGCACCTTTCGGAGGGCGAGATCCATCTCTGCAGTGGGAAGCAACTCTCGCACCCTCCACAGCAAAATCTGCTCGCTGCCGATCGCTCAGCCCAGGAACCAGACCCCTGGGGTCGCAGGATGATGGGCTGAGTATTATTTTGCAGGCAGTGCTTGCCCGCTCTCCAGCTCCCGGGGCTCTAGTAGCTTCTCCCCCCCTGCCTCCCTCTAGGAATTTCACATGGAAATGGCTGTCAGGAGTGACAAAATTAGGACTGGATTACCACGGGCATCTGTCCCCTGCTGCGGCAAACCTAAGGGCAGGATACTCTGTCACACCCCTGCGTTACACCTTTGAGATGGGGGGGGAAAGCAAAACGCTGCCCCGACAGCGAGGAAGAGCGGCAGCTGCTGGGCTCCAAATTTCCCAGTCTAGGAAAAAATCAGCGCTGGGATTTTTTTCAGCAGAGAAAGGAATTTGGATTGCTGACATCCGACACAGGGAGGATCCGTTAGGTTAATGTGAAATTTTTTGTTTGAGTAGGGAAAAAGGAAAGTTTGGAAGTAAAGGGGGAAACTGGTGCAGAGCCCACGGGGCAGCAGCCGCAGGGTGGTAGCGAAAGCAGCAGCTCAGATGGGACCAGCGAGATACCCGCTCGCTGCTGCCAGGATGGAGACAGAGGCAAATTAAAGCAATTAAACTAGGGAGGTAAATGGAGTTGTAAGGCCTTTAAAGGCTGCTCTCTTTAGGCAGATGAAATATAGTCATCTATTGTGAAAAAATACTTGACATTTCTCCGAAGGAGGGCAAGCTGCAAGAGGGAGTTGTCTAACACTGGAGATACGAAAGGGACTGCAGTCTTCATCTGTCCTTGGCAGTCCGAACGCTGCTCCCTCCATCTCCGACTCTCACATCGGTGACCCAAGTGAGAAAACGTTGAGGATGCTATCGGAGGGAGAACTGCTCGGGAGGAGCACGCCCGTCTCTGCTGTGCCTTCTGGTGTGCATGTGGAGAGATGCCGTCCTGATTAAAAAAAATCTGGCAGTGTCACCACTTGTCCCCCTGGGACGTGCATCGTGGCCACAAACCAGGTGCAACCATTAATGCTGCTGTAAAATGAGCTCTTCATTCCACTCACATCGCACTAGCGAAGGCAAAATATCTTGAACAGGCTTCAGTCTGAGGACAAAGCCCTTCAGGCCATGCTCGCTGCCTTGCCAGCAAAGAGAGATGGTTCAGGCAGATGAGACATGGTGCAGGACAGACAGATGGAGCAACAAGAGAGGAAAGACCTCTGAGGAAGCTAAGGTTGTGGGTAAACAGCACGATCCCGCGGCAGCCCGGGAGGAGCAGCCTGGGATGAGCGGGGCACATCGCAACCCAGAGGGGCTGCAGAAATCCACCTGGGATTAGCTGAGAGTGATGGAACCACTAACGAGTATCTTTGAGAGGTCACAGAGAATAGGTCAGATTTCAGAAGATGACACGCATTACCTGCCTTTAAAAATAAAACTCAGGGAAAACCACTGAAGCACATAAATAAGCAATCTATATGAACGCACGCAGAAAATAACACGGGATAAGAACCATCCGACATGGGTTGGGACCTCTGCGGTGGGTGGATAGGAGAGGAGCAGATGGGACCCACCTTGACTTAGCAAGGCTTCAACGCTACCTATCAGGAGATGCTCCCCAGTGCCTGTGGGCTGTGCCAAGACCTCTGCAGGGCCAGGCTTCCTCGCGCAGACACGGGGTACGCTTGCTCAGTCTGCTGAGTTTAACTCTGATGAAGGGGAGGTCACAAACTCTCTGGAGAGCAAGGCTTGAACTCAAAATGCTGTTGAGGAATTGAAGAAAGAGCTGGAACTACTGCAAGAGGCAATTCATCAAGGATTACGGAATAGCACGGAACTTGAGAATAATCAAGTGAGCAAAATAACCCCCAAGGATTAGGAAATTCTTCAGAGGAGGATCTGATGGTGGAAGTGAAACCCAAGCTCAAGGTGAGTGGGCAGCACCAGGCTGTGGTGGGGTGTCTGATGTCCCCTCCAAAGCCCGTGGGCATGTCCCTGTGGTGACATGGGCAAAACCAGGGGAAGCCTGGAAGGCGGTGACAAAAACGTTCACAACTCCAGAAAACACCACCTTTGATGGAAGCTTAAAATGAATGGATCTGTTCAGTCTAGAGGAGAGAGGACTGAGGAGACATGATAGAGGTCCAAAAAAATGTGAAAGGTATTGGAAAAGGGCTGGTGCCGGAGCGGGACAAGGTGGGATGAGGACCTGGGGGGGACGACCTGCACCAGGCATCACTTTAGGAGGATCCCTGCATGGGAGCAGGCAGCACCAGCAGAGCTGCTCCGGGGACCCCCGGAAAGCAAGAGCTTAGGGAAAAGCAGAAGGGCACGTCTGCAGCCTGCCCCACACCCTGGCAGCCCCCTGCTCAGAGGTCTGGGATGCAAAACCCCACCCGATGGAACACCGGGAAGCAGCGCCCGTGGGCAGCCCGGCAGCCCGCTGTTCAGGATGGCTTTACACGTGCACCGCCAGCCCAGGCAGCGCCGAGCTATCACTTTTCAGCTGGAAATAGCACCGGCACGAGCCCTCAGCTGGGGAGCAGAGCACTTGCAAGTCCAGACTGCGGTTAGCTATCAAAGACAACTAAAAAAAGATATTCTACACATAGGGGTTTTTTTTTCCCTCTCTTTTTTTGGTATCGTTCCCCCCCCCCCCAAGGATTAAATCAACTCAACAGCCCCCTTTACAACTTCCCTTTTGATGTGTTCAGACTCATTAAAGTTTCATTTCTTTCTCTGTTTTCCCCGGGGGAGGAGGGGGAGCATACACAAAGTTTACTTCAGAAGCGAGGTCGGCAGCTGCAGCAGCAGCTGCTGTTGCTGTGGGACAAGCGGAGTCTCCGCTGGGCTTCGCACCCTGCCCAAATCCCTCGGCAAAACACATCCTCCCGCAGCCGCCCCGCTCCCACGCGCAGCCCCAGCATCACGCCGGCACGATGCTTTCGCGAGTGCTTTCGCAGGATGCACGCCCAGGGTCGCGTGTCACAAAGTGAGCAGCGCGAGAGCTGCAAAGCTCCTGCAAACCCTGAGAGTTCTGGGGTCTGACCCTGCGAGTTTTCAGGTCCGACCCTGTTTGTTTTGGGGTCCTTTCCTGACCCGCCTGGTTCCCCCCACCGGCAGCACCAGCCTTTTCCCCGCAGCTTCGGCCGTCGCCCTGGGATAATCCCCCGCGCACAGCGAACGGGTAGCAGCTCCCCCACGTTTCTTTTCTGCTTGAGCAGCTGTTTAAATGTCTATTTTAAAACTCAGTTCCCTATTTTAAAATAGCTAATGAGACACTGATCTAGGCCGATAGACGTCGTCTCTACAAGGTCCGGGAGATCCTTGTCTATTTGCTGGGCTCCTTTTCCCAAGCCCCAAATCTCGGCATGCCCGTCACGTTTCCAATACTCACAAACAGCTTACATGGTAGAGGGAAGTTTTTAATTTAAGGGCCAACTCCTGCACCCCTGCCGTGAAATACCAGCGGTACAGCCACGTGTTTCTAGATGGAGACACATCAACCAGCCAGGCAGAGGCTGACGTTCTGAGTGGTTTTCTGTTGGTATTTTTTTATCCTCCCTTTGATTTTATCAGGTCTTTTTAAAATTCCCCGACCAAGAGGAGCTGGCCCGCCTGGCACGGCTCCTTGTTACCGCCTGAGAAAAGCCGGGCATGTACGAGAGGGACTTTCAGAAAGCAACTGCCCATGGCAGGGTACGGTGGGAGGTCCCCGTGCATTCCCGTGCATCCCCTTTACATGCTCTCCAAGACGGTGTGCACCCCACCAAGGCAGAGGGGACCCCGCTCGCTTACCTGACCACAGGCTCGGGAATGGCCTCAGCGCTCGCCGGCACCTGGACACCCTTCTCCCACTCCTGCCTCCAGGGAGGACACCCTTCCCACTCCTGCCTCCAGGGATCGGCCAGGACGTAGTACTCGTCAGGGCTCAGCTGGAAGGGGTCAGGGATCTTCATGGCCGTTATCAGATCCGTACGGAAAACCTGTATCGGAAAAAAAACAACCATCCAACAGGCAGGGTGAAGGGGTCTGGCACAGGCTGGGTGCACGCGCGCCTGGGGAGGGTATCCTGGGGAAACGGTCCCCAAGGGACAGCGTGGTGTGTGCGACGGTGTGCACCCCACCAAGGCAGAGGGGACCCCGCTCGCTTACCTGACCACAGGCTCGGGAATGGCCTCAGCGCTCGCCGGCACCTGGACACCCTTCTCCCACTCCTGCCTCCAGGGATCGGCCAGGACGTAGTACTCGTCAGGGCTCAGCTGGAAGGAGTCAGGGATCTTCATGGCCGTTATCAGATCCGTACGGAAAACCTGTATCGGAAAAAAAACAACCATCCAACAGGCAGGGTGAAGGGGTCTGGCACAGGCTGGGTGCACGCGCGCCTGGGGAGGGTATCCTGGGGAAACGGTCCCCAAGGGACAGCGTGGTGTGTGCCTGTGTCCCCAACGGCACGGCTTCAGGGTGTACTTTATGTCACCTCCGGGGTGAGGTTTGGGCAGGATTCAGGGAGAACAAGGTGCGCGGGCAGGGGCTGCCCATGCTTGGCCAGGCAGCACCGAGAGCCTGAGCCCCTGCAGCTGCAACCCTTCCGAGGTCCCCCAGCCCAGGCAGACGTGAAATCCAGCTGCAGGGCGCAACCTCGGCCAAGACACGGACTGAAAATTAGTATTAAACTAAAGAAATGACAGGTTGCTTTCTCTTAGGGGATCAATGTTTTAACATAGCCACACGAATATCTCCTCCGAACGCCAAGGGACGTACAGCAACTGGGCTTCTCCACATTCAGACTTGCTGGGGGAAATGATGCTTGCTTTGTTTTTGGCCTGAATGAAGCTGCGGGAAACACAGCCACCTCACTGCCCCGAGCACCTTCATGTCCCCATTGCATCACCTCACTGTCCCGAGCGGGGACAGCCGAAAGCAGAAGGTATCCCATCGGGGCTCGATTGCTCCAGTGGTGATTGCACACTGAGGAGCAAAAGGCAAAATAAAGGCAGGCTGGGTTACGCTAAGAGCTGGAAAATATCCGACTAAAAGGTGATCTAGGTGCCTGCTTACACATCCACAGCCAAACACATGGCGATTTTTCCTGACCCAATAAACCTCCTGGGAGAACAACACTGGACCCCTCCTCTATGAAAATCCTCCAGCCCCTCAGACAGTGAATGGGCTCGTTCTCCATCTCACTTCTGGCCCTGCAGCGTCTTCCCCCAATACACCACAATGGAAAACTCATTCCAAAAAAATCCCTCATGGTAAATAAGGTTTTCCTTCCAGAGGGTTGCCTGATAGCAATGACTCGAGCAATCCTGCCTCTTGCAGCATAAAAATAAATTGTAAATGAAAATGGATGATTTCTCCTCTCTACCATCTGCTATTAGCTGACATAATAACCGACGGTGCCAGCAATCATGCCTGGACACAATCTCACTCCATCCACCCCATCCCTGCTACTTCTGCATTACCTTCTGCGGGGCCGGGACAGATCAGGGGTTTTCTTCAGACGCTGTTTAATCTGTTCGCAGAGCCTATTCTCCAAATGAGCACTGCTTTGTCAGAACCACAATAAACGATACAACATGGTTTTACACTTTCGATACAAAGATAACGCGCTTTGGAGAGCATTTGGGAAACAAAATCGGCTGAGATGCCGGAAACTAGACATTAACTAAGACCACTGAGACCAGTATTTAGGTCAGTTTGTTTAATCCTCAAGAGTCTCAGCTGCTAACCCAATTAGAGTTAAATACAATACATAAACAACCTTTTCTATGCTGGGACCTCTTTGAATTTTACTGGTACCTTCCTCCTGATGCATCTGCTTGGAGCCATTTTTGACTACGTCTATATAAACCTGATTTGAGTTGGCCAGACACAGGCTCAGCACATCCTTCAATAAACATAATTAACAGCCTACATATTACAGACAGAATTAGGCTCAGTTTGAGAAAGATCAGGTTCCTTTAAGTCTCTAAGTGCTACAAATGCACGGTTACAGACGCCACAGTAACCTTTTAATAAGCTGCCAGTGTGGGAAATTTAAAAAAAAAAAAAAATTAAGATAGAAGATGTCATAGTCCTTCCAGTGCTACGTGTCTGCGTACCAAAACAAGCCAAGTAACCCTACTGTAGCTCGTTTTCTAAAACACAGTGTACAAATACGCCCCGTTCTTGACACCCCTGCATTGCCAGGGTCACAACTCGGGCAAACGGTGTCTCCGTTACCCAGTTTCAATGCCCATCTCCGATGAGAACAACACAAACCCGAGCGAGCCTCCCCGCGTCGGACCGCTCTGCTTTGGTGGACAAGATGCTCCCTCCTGCGTGGACCACGCGTGGTCAAGGGCAGCATCGGGGGCCGGTGCCACCTCCCTGCTCCGGCCACCAGCACCGGGGCAGGAGCGTCGCAGCACGTCTACGCCGCTCCATTTGCAAAACTGTTATAGAAAACACTATTTTGGAGACACTCGCTCTCGGGATTCGTGGGCAAAGCCAGGTAGGAATGGTTTCCAAAGGTGCTGGGCACCCAACAGGTTTTCAAAACTCCCCGGACTGGACCCTACTGACTCAGTTGCCTCCTGAGGACACCCCCCTCAATGCAGCAGGGTGCAGGAGCATGGCATCACCCTTTCATGGCATGCAAATATACACAATTCCTCCATGAACCTACCCAGCGTGGTGCTGGCAGCGGAGGCAGAGCCCTGCAGGCAGCACAGGGCAGCAGGCAGCAGGCGTGCTCGTGCTCCCACTGCAGGGCACACGACCTGGCAGCCAGCGCAGAAGCAGCGATGGGGGATGTGGGACTGCCCTTTCCAGGGCAACTGGTCCCCAGAAAAGTCCAGCTGTGTTGTTAACCTGCCCCGAGAGGTCTCCCCCCTCCCTGGGGCGCTGGCACCCACCGCAGCAGCACCCTTTCCAGAGCATTACCCCAAACAAGGATCCCCACTTTCTTTTGCAAAGGCAGCACCAGGCGACAGCCTGAGAGGTGACGGGTCCCATCACTTCGAGGCAACACCAGGGGTGGGCAGCCAGAGCGGATTTATGTCCACGCCTGGCCCACCACCTTCCTCCTGCCGATGAAGAGGGAGATGGAGGAGCCTGCACCGACATGCCCCGCATCGTGCAACCAGCCTGGGGAGCAGCTGGCAGCGCGGTTGGGGAGCCTTGGTCCCCCCCCAAGGGCTGCCATCCACGGGCGGGAAATAAAATGGCTCCATCCGATCCTCATGTCAGAAACTAAACACATTGCACTTTGCATATAGCTATTACTTAGATAATTTCTTTAGCGCTCTCAGCTGCTTGCTGGGGTCGTGGCTTCGGCGGTCCAGGCACCCCAGCAGCATCTCACAGGCAGCTGGCCGTGCATCCCACGCGGCTCGCCACTGCTCTGAACCAGCAGGACCAGCTTCACCAATGCTTCGCAACATCCTCAGCAGATGCAAAACCCTCCGGCAACCCACCGCATCTACCTCACAGCCTCCATGTTGGAAAACACAGCAACGGGATCAGCCCTTGGTATAATTTCTCCCCTCTGCACGGTGTGGATCCCAGGCTCATGTTTTTCTGCATTAAGTCTTCCCCAAATTCATCCCTTCTGGCTTTTCAGCTCACATCAGCGTAGAAGCTTAGTTTTAATTTTAAGCCAAATAAGCACGATTGTATCTATTTCCCTGAAGATGATAAGGCACATCGCAGGCTGGATTTGCAATCTCACTACTTCATTTATTTAGTCCTTCTTGGAAAACAGATAAGCTCACCCATCCAACGGCAGCACACACGCCCGCACTTTATCACAGCGATGCCTCTGTCTTTTCATGAAGAACTGGAAATGCTCAAATTATTAACTATCAAAGCAGAACACTTTAGAAATGATAGAATGGCACAGAAATTGTAAAGGAAAGCAGATCAGTTGTCTGGAAATCTCCCAACAGCTAATACACTCAAATTGTAATCTAAATGTCTTTTTGTTTTGAATTGTCTGGGATTAGGGTTGGGAAAAGACTCAATTATTCTACTCAAACTCCTCTGAATTATTTATGAAAACCAAATAAAGGATAAATTGGGCACTGACGAACCGAGGACCTGGTGGTGAAGAGGAAGTTGGGTACCAGAAAACAAGCAATTTTCCCTCAATAGGAGTGTTTACTGTTTCTCCCCCGTCCGCAGGAGCTGACAAATTGTCTCCGAGGCCAGGCTGCCCCGCTCCCTGCTCCCCCCGCAGCCCTGGCCAGGCTCCGTCCTCCCTTTCCAACCCAGCAGCAAGATCCAGTTTATTGCCTATTGATCTGCTGGCGATGGGGAAGGCCAAACCAAGACGTGCGCTTTATTACCTCCGCTTGCTCAGGAACCTCAGGCAGGTTTCAGCGATGCTCAGAGATGCATCGCACCGATGCCCAGGGGCCAGCCTCGCCCATGTGTCAGCTTTAAAGACGGGGAAAAAGAACATGAAATTGCAAAATCCCAAGACATTTTTGCCTTTGTACTTCCAAGCCAGAGGGAACAGGAGTCGGGGTCGGCATGCTCGTGCAGCCTCAGAGCCCAGGCAGGAGAAAGGCGCACGGAGAAAACCTCCCTCTCGGTCCCCGCTGATCCCACAGCCGCATGGGTGAGCAACGAGGAGTGTTTCACAGCAGGGCACGGCAAGGAAAAGGAAAAACTACAGGAGGTGTCCAATATTCCCCTGGGAGCTGCAGAGGGAGGGAATCCCCTGACAGGAGCTGCACCTCTCGCTCCCCCTTGCCAGCCCCGGCACCCGCGGCAGGACCATGACTGCACCCCACCACGGGTCCCACTGCACCCACCACTGCCTTCCCACACTGCCCAGAGCAACGGATTATAGCATGCAAAATACAGGTGTCTGTGGATATTACAGAGATGAATAAAGAGTAAGAATTGATAAAAATACTCCTGAAGATACCACTCCTCAGCACAAGTGTACCCAACGAGGCAGCAGCAGCAAACCATCAAGTACTGTATGAAAGCAGCAATCAATGTAGCAGCTTCCTTCACCTCCTCTGCCACTGCCATTCCCAAAGCAGCCCATCGGCCTCATGTCTCGGCTTCCCAGCTGGCTTTCCCTGCTCACATCCATGTTGCTCATACACGAGGTGGCAGGTTAATTCCCAGTGTGATCACACCGACCTCACGTCATGGACCAGGCTCTACCAGAGCAGCTCAAGGAGGACACCGACCTCCCCCAAGCAGCTCAGGCCACCAACACAGAGGTCCTGCTGCTCCAGCTGTCCCACCAGCCATGTGGAGAAGCTGTCTGATCACACACACACAGTCCCATCCAGATCTTTTTGTGTAG